CTTCCATCTTCAATATTAAAATGGCTACACAAAAATTCACCAATTGTGATCATTTTTTTTAAAATGGAAGCTCATATGACACTGTCACAATACGATCTGACAAAATTGTTTTGAATGATGTTAAAAACAACTAAGAGCTACCAGAACCATCTTATGAAAAAAACAAAACCAAAAAAACCCCCAGCTTTTTGGCCAACCCAACATAAGGTACAAGTCCAGCAAAGAGGAGAGGGCAGTGATACAGGTGAATTGATCAGGAATGTGTTCACAAGGGTGACATGTGATCTGAATTTTTTTGTGTGTGATCTGAATTTTTAAAAAAGATTTATTTACATATTTATTTTTTAGAGAGAGGGGAAGGGAGGGAGAAAGAGAGGGATGGAAACATCAATGTGTGGTTCCCTCCCCCCCTTCCCGCCACTGCCTACTGGGGACCTGGCCCAGGCATGTGCCCTGGCTGGGATTCCAACCAGTGACCCTTTGGTTCACAGGCCGGCACTCAATCCACTGAGCCACACCAGCCAGGGAATATTCATTCAGATCTAGGCATATTTAAATTAACATTTGTGGGAAAGATAATTAAGATTTGTGTTTGACCTTAGCAAGGAGCCTTGCAGCCAGAACAGCAGTTTATGCCAACAAAACAAAACAAACAGAATAAAAATTTAGGTTTTTTCCCCTTCTGTCCAAGGACTTGAGGTTGGGGAAACTAGGTGGGTTTGGAGCTGCTCCCGGAGCTGCATTTCTGGTTTTGCAAACATTTGTAAGACAAAGGGAATTGCTCTAGTTCCCCAGAGAATTGGGTTGGGAGGTAAGTGACCTCATAAGTTGATCTACCAGTCTTACCACATCTGAATTTGCTTCTTTCCCCTTGATACACAGTTTTATTTTAATTTTGAGGAGGCTTTAGGAAATTTCTGTCAGGCTTTGAATTTTTAGTTTCTAGCTTTGCCAGATTCCTAATCAAAAAGTTATTAAATCCTTTCAAATACCTTTTCAGATTTGAGCTGGGAGAAGCAGTAACTATGTCAGGCCGTGCTAAATAATTCCACGGACTCAAGAGAATGCCTAAGTCATTATTTTCCCGAATCATTTCATCTGGGAGCCAAAAGGAAGAGCTCTCAGCCTGCTTACCCTAGTGAAACAGAGGGTCCTCATGATTTTGATTAAATTTCGTTTTTAATTCTAGCTCTAGAAACCCTCTCTTTCACTCTACAGCTCTCAGACGACTGTCCTCCCTCCCCCTCCTCCGATAATCAGCAACCCCCAAGGCACAAAAGCCAGTGGCCTGTATCTGAATAAAGGTCTTATGGTCAGGACTTCTGGCAGGCTAAAGGTAACATGTGACCCAAGTTATGTTCCATTTCCTGAGCCCTAAGGTGGAGCGACCCTCTGCCTACTTCCCAGTGGAGGGACACCGAAACAGACCTTACAGCTGTCCTCCAGGCCTGAAGAAATGATTCACTGCCCTTACTCATTTCTGACCAATTAGCTCCCAACAACTCCCAACCCCCTAACCCACGATGTCTTGTGATCTTTGCCCCATATAATCTATAATCTACATTGCATCAGGGAGTTCAGGCTTGAGCATTAGCTTCCTGTTCTCCTGAATGATGTCATTCACAAATAAATAGCCAATATTTCTCCACAGCAATTCTCAGTGTCCAGTGTTTGATTCTGCGAGCGCTGGGGTGGGGGGATGAACTCCTTCTGTTCAGTAACAGCAGGCAGGCAAAAAGTCAAGCCAAGCCTTGGGGCACAGGAAAAGCTATCCATGGGAGAGAAAGGGTAAATAACGCATTGGTCTTACAGTCTTTTGTTTTAGGTACTTCATATATATATATAATTTTTTGTTATGTTTTGTTTTGCTTTTTTGTTTTTTGTTAGCCTATTACAAAAGAGTCTTGCTTTTAGTTACCTGCTCAGGTGATGAAAATTTCTTTTAGGATTCTTTCAGAGCTCTTTTGAAAGTTATTTTGCCTTTTAGAAGCTTATGCAAATCAAAGAATGAATCCCATCATCCCTGTGGTTTAGAATTCCCTAAGGGAGGTGGACTTAAGACAAAGTTTTTCTTAATGGCCATTAGACTTTTAAATTATTTTAGCTAAGTTGGTGCATTTGATTCAAAAGGCAGAAGAGGAGGAATCAAAGTGTTTGTACCCATAACTGGCTCGACTTCCTGAGGAAGGAGCTTGTGGGGACTTTAAGAGGCGAAGATCTCACATTAAAAGATAGATTCTCCTGAAAGGTGTCACAGCTGGGCAAGAAAAGACAAAGGACGTGTCGTCAAAAGCCCCGGGTAGTTTGTTTATCTGCAAGCTAAGTTAGTTTGCGCGGAAGAGGGTTGGGGTGAGCCTGGAAAACAGGTTTATCGAATTAATGACTGTGTCCTCCCTTATGAAATCTTTTTCTTATTTTTGGCTGAGGAAGTTTCAGAATAAGAAGTGAGTTCAGATTTCTCATTGTTTAATTCAGAATTTGCTTTACATAGTTTCAAATTTTTCTCGAAGGGAGGCTATCTTTGAACCATTGGCTTTTTAGCAACCTCTGACTGAGAAACATTTTTCAATTGTGCATGTAAATATATTAATTTCAGGATCTCAAAAGACACCCTGAGCAGCCACTGTAATTCCAAATTTCCCTTCTTAGCAGAAAAGTCCATCGAGACAAACATTCTCAGCAGAGGGTAGCCTATAAATCCATCTGGCACTGCAGAATGGGGTCATTCCTCCACAGACAGGCTTAAAAAGAGAGAATCCTGTTGCAAAAACTGGTGTGAGAGGACCCAAGAATTAAAGCTCCGAACCTCAGCCGAAGAGGCAGAGACTTGGAACCAATGGACCCGACCACTGGAACACGGGAGCAGTCAAGCAGTGACGTTGGAATCCAGGGGCAGCCCCGCAGAGAAAAGGCAGTGAGTGTTCTTCAGAGGCCACGACACTGACACTGTATGTACCAAAAAAACTTGAAAGGAGTTTGGTGGCTTTGGCTAGAAATAAGTGATAAAGATTTATTCAAGGGTCTTACAGTCTGCAAATTTGGAACGCAGCTAGGCAAAAACCCAGTTTTCTGAAGAAGAAAGAAAAGTTAAAAGTTCTCATAGTAAAAAGTGCCTCCTTGAGAATAATCAGTTCTGCTTTCTTAGCCCCGGATTGGCCCAGAATGGTAGTCAGTCAGATGTCAGGCAGTCTGGATAGTGGATGCCAGGAAGTCTGGATATGGGGGTCCTTTAGGAGATATTCAGAGGGTTATCTGCAGGACTGAAAAATCCAAAAAGTTTAAGTTCCCGACCTAGTCAGAGCAAGAATCAGCCTTTCCTCATGCCTCAGCCTTCATAATATCAATAATTTTAGCATCTTGATTAAAGTGAAGTTTGGGTTAACTAATTGCTGTTCCCAGAGCTCCCAAAGGCCGACTGGAGGTAAGGGTGCTAGAGAGCACTGGATGAAGGGTAAGAAGAACGTAAACAGAGCCACTTAAAGTTTCCCAAGATGAACTTGGTCTAACAGAGAAGCAGGCAGGTGTAGTGGGGAGGGAATACCCCAGACTAAGTTGTTCTCATTCTTCTACTTTTCAGCTGGGACACTGGGACCGACTACTGAAACTTTCTGGCTCCCTTGTGCTGTTTTCTTCTTCCTCTTTTCTTTTGTTTGTGCTGTGTTTAATTATGGGATTGGAATAAATGAAATGTGAGTTCCTTCTTGTATTAACAGGAGGGTGCTGCTGTATGGCGGGGTGGCTGTATGTCCCAAAACTGGCTTTAACATGTCCCGGGGGGTGCCTTGGTTTGCATGTTTCCTTGGCTCTCTGGAGAGCCTGGCACGCTTCTTGCAGAACACATCGGACCCGCCTACTGTGAAGGCCGTCTTCTGGGTGTAGTGAACAGCCTGAGTTTCAGCTCTCTGGGGAGGCGCCGGATTCCTGGAGGTTGTGTGTGAGACTGGGTCAGCCTCTAGTGGCCAGAGGCCCACAGGTGCAGAAGGGTGAAGTCTAGGCTTTGACCAGATGGATCCTGGGAAGTAACTGGCGTTTCTCTGAGATACTTACAGAATTCTCTTCTCAAAAAAAAGTGATTTGACCCAAAGTTTGGAAACTTAATAGGGTTTGCCACAAAGGAAGATTTGGGACAAGTCTGTACTGACTTTATCAGCACCCCCCAAAATGTGAATTTCAGTAGATGATCTCAATTATTTGGTGCCTCATGCATGGGGTGGAATGGGACACTCCAGTCCTGCCATAAAGCACCAGAGGAGGGGACTTGGACAAGTTAACGTGCATTCTCATGTCCCTCACTTGTGAAAGAGAGATCGTAGTATCTCGGAGGATTAGATGACATAAAATAGTATAAAGATGCCTGACCTACATGAATACAGTACTCCATCCCATACTCCCTTACACATGTGGATAAAAATACATGCTTTCAGCAATTTTTCATATTTACCCTATGTGATTTTCCACAGCTTAGTTTTTACCCTCAGACCAGAAATGAGCTAGTCAGTGTTCTTCTTTCAAAGGCTAGATTTGGGGTTCAAATACTTGAAATTAAACCATAACAGAGGAAACGTTCCCCAGCGGCAAGCCAGCTGATGGGTGTATAGGGGCAGGCAATCTCCCTTCTCCAGGCTGACTGGCCTGGGAGGTGTTCCCAGGGCCCTGGCATCACGGAGATGCACCGGGCACGCCTGACTGAGCCGGGCCTGGATGGGAGGATCACATTTCATCCAGTGTTGGAATCACTTGAAATTCCCCTTGTTCATCCGAAGATGCAAAAGTAAAAGCAGTAGCTCATGGACTTGCTGAGCTGAGATCTCTACTTTATTGTGAGCCATTCTTGCACCTTTTGTTTTCTGTCTGTGCAAGACAGACCGAGCCAAGTAATGTAAGAATCACATGCACATCAATTTTATCTTGTGCCCTACACACATTTCATCGAGAGTAAATTTCACACACATACACACATGTGTATATTTATTACAAACACACACACACACACACACTCATCATGTAGGCAGCCAACAGAAAGCAAAGGAAAGCACACCATCACGCCCTCCCTTGCATACCCGCGGCACGCCCAGTTTTATTCCAAGTTGCCACTTTCCTGAAGAGAGACAGTTCTTAGGCCCCCTGGAGAGGGAACCATCTTGGTTTTACTCTGTCTTTATCTGTAGACCTTAGATCAGGAATTATCAACCTTTTTCATTTATCTCAAGGCACACATAAATTACTAAAATTCTCCAGCATGCCCAAAATATATTTTTTGCCGATCTGACAAAAGAAATAGGTGTAAGTTTGATTTGTTGGCACAGACAGCTGTTGTTATGCTGGCTGTTGTCATTTTTTTTACCTGCCAATCTAAGGGAAAAGAGGTCAGTGCCCCGACTAAACAGTCAGGTGCTGCATGGTTTAAAAGTTCTTGTGGGCCACCAGTTGAAGATCGCTGCCTGACTCTCTAGAAGAAAATTTCCGTTGCTTTCATCTTTTGAATGTGCCCACATTCAGAGGGCTCATTCTTGGGTCTGCTGCTTCAGGGGGAGGTGGGGTGAGCCCGGCCATTCTTTTTAATGTCTAACCCAAAATAGGTGTGTGTGTGTGCACAATAAATGAGTTGAAGTAGTGTCCAAATTGTTTTTTTCTTTTTCTCTTCACCAATCCCGTTCTCAACACAACGGAAGCTCCCCTCCAACCCTATGCTCAACTAATTCATGAGGTGAGGGTTCACGAGTCATTCTGAACTTTCATATGTCTCCCTGAAGTACTCACTTACCCTCTCCTGGTTTGACCAGCGCTCACCACAATGAGTCATCCACTGGGCTGTAATCCACAGCAGCCTGAAATACCAGGGCTATGACTTAACATTTTCCATTTTTATTAAAACTCTCACTTCCGTCAAACCTGATTATCTTAAAGCTAATTTTATTCCATGTTCGGCCTTTGAGTTTGTGCTCATTTGCAAATCTTTTCCTAATCGCTCTCTTAAATCAATGCAAGAAAAATTTATCAACTCTCCCACATTCCATTCCTTGGCAGATGCAGGAAAATACTCTTTCCCCACAGAGAGTGGGTGTTTGGAGACAATGGGATAGAAGGAATCCTCTTTGCAAAGAGTTAGGGGCAAAGAATGAAATTTATGCATTTATTACATACACACATATATAATGCAGTTATATGTATTTATATATTGTTTATATGCATATGAAAATGATTCCCCAAAGATCTTATCCATATACAGGTGTAAGAAACGACATAACTAAAATTTAAAGATCAAAAATCTCTTTTGCATTGCGGTTGATTAAAAATATATATCCTCCCAGTATACACACATATCTACAGCGCTGGCCTAATGTCAATCCCTTATTCATGCTGTGTGGTGCATTTTAGGTAAACCTGATGCAATGTCTATGCACAGAGCCATACATGTTTATGTCTTTATTATTATAGCTAAGTGCTCATTTCCCTCTTCCTTTATCTTTTTCTGAAGAGTCTCCCCACACTTCAAGTCATATATTACAAGTTTCTTGAAGAAACTGATGCACACAACTCAGCACAGTGCTGGGCGTACACTAACTTACTTCTTCCCGGTCAGTGGTCAGTACTTGTACCCTTCCTGGACCCTCTGCCACTTTAAATGTGTCTCATGCATAAACAACCCTTCACACGCAACGAGGCGGCGCTCACACCATGCTCCATCGGTCTCTGAAACCTCTGCAGGTGTCTGTGCTGCAACATCTGAATATAAAAGCAAAACGTTTGGAGAGGGGCCACGGCTTTTAAGATTTAGCAAGTTCATAATCAGTTACTTATTCCCCATTAAGGAATTTTAGTCATCTTTCTCCATTAAACAAAAAGAGCCTGAACACTATAAAGAATGCCACATTAATAAGCAGAACTTTATTAACTAAAAATACTGCTTTTAAGTGGATGAAACAATTCAAATAAAAGCTTGAACTAAATAAGCCCCTATGCACTCACTGGGGAACTACGCACCTACGCCAAAATCACAAATGAAATAAAATCAAACCATATGAGTGGCTGGTTTTCTAGGGGTATCATTGCCTCACTCTCTATCCAGGCAACTCTTTCCCATTTCTCTCAGGATTTCTATTGACTTGGCACTCATCAACCACCGGGACACAGCTCCCCCTCCTCCACAAAGAAGTGCTTTCTGGTCCTTACAGCGCTCCTCCAACTAACTCTGTAACCTTTAAAACTGTGCCTTTTATTTCCAACCTAGTGTGGGTCTCATATGCACACAACCTCGTTTCCATACTAGAGAGCTGGGCTCTTCCGCTGTGCTGTCCTAACTTCTACCCGGTCTTCTCATAATATTGACTTCACGGCGTTTTGGACGTGGACCGTGTGGGAAAGGGCACAAGCTAAGTCACCCATCCCATCTCATGCAACCTGTGAGCCAGCTCTGACTCATGGCTCATTGAAGAATACAAAAGGCTCAGGGAAGTAAACAAAAGTGATTGGGCCCCCAATCCAAGGTCTTGAGTCTTAATTAACTGGTGGTGTGAAATGACACACCTGAGAACCTTTGGGTGCATGTTTGTACTAGTTAATAACTGCAAGTGAACTTTTCCATTAATGCTCATTTACTGGTTGGCGCGTTTCATGCTGTTTCTTGAGAATATTAAGCACAGAGCGCTTGCCCCTTGTGAAGCATGGAGGCTTTACTGCATATTGTTTTAGTGTCGGTGGCTTTCCCACTGGGAACAGAGTGGGCCTCCCCTGCCCCCCTCTCCTTATCACTAAGTCCAGAGAATGTGTGTGAAGGGGTTCTGTGACTCTTTCACCTGAGCCATATTGCACCCATTGTTCGTGAACGCCTGGGTTACAGGGACTGTATCACAGCACTGCTGGTTACAATACAGGCATGGTGACCTGGCATGAGCTCCGCCCAGCCCCAAACTCATGAACATTAGTGGACACTTCGAAGTGCAGTGTATTGCCGCACACCCGCTGCTTCCTCAGTTTAGCAGTTTGGTGGCCTAATCTTTTCCGCAAGCTGAATCTTAAGATCTCCATGGCTCTCTTCTCTGCCAAGTATGAACAACAAATACTGCTTCTGACACTAAAGTTTTGCCCTTCAGGACATGTATAGTATTCCGTTACCCGTGGGGGATACAGTCCAAGACCCCCAGAGGTTGCCTGAAACTGCGGATAGTACATAACTGTTTTTAACAGTAAGAAAGTCATCACTAAGAATAAAAGTTATGACAATATACGCTAATAAATGTTATACTGCTAGTTGAAAGGGCTAAGTGACTAATAGGTGGGTAGTGGATACAGCACGGCTACTCTGGACAAAGGAATGGTACGTGTCCTGGGTGGGATGGAGCAGGACTTCCTGAGATTTCATCCCAGTACTCAGAATAGTAAGCAATTGAAAACTTATAAATTGCTTATTTCTGGAATTTTTCATTTACTACTTTTGTGCCATGGTTGTCCATGGGCAACTGAAAATGGTGGAAAGTGAAACTGCGGATAAGCGAGACTACGATCGGTTTTTCTTCTCTTCAGCACTAGGGACGAACTGCGTGGGTCCACTTCCCAGCCCTCTGTGGCGAAGAGTGCAGTGGGGGCTTCGCGAGCAGGCCTCCAGAGTAAAGGGCATCTGAGCTGGAAAATGTGAATGACCGGGGTTCGCACCCAGTGTGCCATTTGCCGGGTGGGTAATCCTGAACAAGTTGTTTCTGCGAGCCTGTCATGTCACCTGCCAAATGGAAGTAACCCCACCTCCCACTGACAGGGTTATGAAAATTACAATACACATAAAGTCCCTGGCATACCGCTCCAACATGGTAGATAATCAATGTTAGTTACAGTTTTTATTATCCAAGAGTTTGAATTGACTACAGTCCATGGTTTTTAATTCCCTGTTACAGTCCTCTCAGACGAAACTTCCAGGACTAGGGTTAAAAACTTACTTATCTTGTGAGGCTGTTAAGTGTCTGCAGAGGTTACTTCAAGGCTAGAAAACGTTAGAGCAGTGAGGCGGAGAGTGCTGCCCCAGCCACCACTCCCTTATGGCCCCAACAAACCCCGTCCCCACCTTACCACCAACTGACCCCGTATGCCCATTTGTCCTGGTCTCCAACCCTACTTGATGAAAATGCCTGTGGTTTTAAAGATTTTCAAAAACTTAAGAATAGAAGAGTGAGACCTCAGAGAACTACACATATTCCACTAAAAGACATGGGTAACTGCTACGGTTTCTTGTCCTTAGCAATATAGTGGCTTCCGTGTGCTGAGATCCCAGTCTGATGAGAAGAAACAATGCGAAGGTCATGGATGGACCTCACTGTCCACTTTGAAAGCTCCTGCAGCACCTTCAGGCCCCACAGCTTTTTTTCAAAGAGACCACCGTCTCCAACAATAATGGGCACCCCGTCAGCCTCACTGGCGGGGATCTTGTGTTCCAGGAGCGCCATTAATTCCTCCAGCTGGTAAGCAAAGGCAGCAACTTGGAGTAGAAGCGTGCGTATTGCTTGATGGAAGTCACCTTCCGCAGGAGTGAAATGCACCCGTTGGTCTTCTAAAAGCCTGGTCAACATAGCGTGGAAGGTACGGTAAGCTTGGAGGTTCTCTTGGAGTCGCTCAGCCTCAGTCAGCTCACTCCACCGATCGGTGCTTGCCACCGGCACACCGCCCACGGAATCCAGGCTGATGTCCTCGTTCAGGCCTTGATGCTTCACCTGGCCAAGAACACAGAAAAATATCACATCTTCTGTCATCACCCCAACATTCTAAACAACACCTAGATCTCATTTAAAATCTATTCACCTCTCTGGTCACGGATCCAAGTTAAAAATAAAATGAAGTCTAGAGCAGAAACTTTTTTTTAAATAAAAAGATTGTGATTATTTATTTTTGGAGAGAGGGGAAGGAGGAGAAACACCAGTGTGTGGTTGCCTCTCACATGCCCCAGACCTGGTCTGCAACCCTGCATGTGCCTGACTGGGAATCCAGATGGTGACCCTTTGGTTTTAGGCCAGCACTCAATTCACTGAGCCACACAGCCAGGGCTAGAGCAGCAACGCTTCATTTGGGGTCTATGATTGGACTTTAGAAAGACCCTACTGTCCCTAAAGTTACACACAAGGCTTTGACTACTGTTCGTCTTTCTTGGGAGGATCTGCAGCTTTCATTAAGTTCTAAAGGTTCAAAACCACTGGTTTGGGATAACTTCTTCCCACTTCAAACTCCCTCCTAAAGTATTTTAATCATACTGAAGTTTTAAGTATTTTTTTAAACATACTTGAAGATTCTGGCCATACCTAGAAGCCCTGGAAGGTAACCACTGTAAAATTTTCCTCATCATCCTTGCCTCCACTGCCCATTCTTAGTATGGAGGACAATCCTTTAGAGGGGTCCTTAACCCAGTAACCAGTCCCTGGCCTGTTAGGAACCAGGTCACACAGCAGCCGGTGAGTGGAGGCCAGAGGTGAGGCTTCATCCCACTCCCGATCACTCACATTTACCGCCTGAGCTCCATCCCCTTCCACCCCTGTAAGTGGGAAAATTGTCTTCCACGAAACCGGTCCCTGGTGCTAAAATGGTTAGGGAGTCCTATTTTAGAGAATTCAGCGGAAAGTAGTTTAAAAAAAACTGGTACTTCAGAGTCTGACTTCTGACTGGGGGGGCTGTGCAAAGATACTCTCCACAGGGTCTGGAGTGTTTCCACAGCAGACCTTATGTAGACACTCATGAGAATCCTCCACTATGAGAAAGCCAGTCTGACCCCAAGGTTAACTTTCCCTAGTCCCCAGTGAATCTTTTAGGGAATCCTTTTGATAGAGGTGACCTTTCTATTTAGACCCAGAAAGACTTTTTTAAAAAAATTATTTAATTGTTGTTCAAGTACAGTTTTGTCTTTTACTCCCATCCCAGCCCACCCCCCAGACTTTTGATGTATTTAATTAAAAATTGGGTGGCTAATACCGTGGAGGAGAAATTGGTTGCTTACACTATGCTGCTCCTTCCCAATGCTATAAACCTTACTCTGCTTTTCATTTACATAATTCAAAAATTCAGAACAATGTATATAAAGAACCCAAACTTTGAGGGCTCGTGGTTACTCTATTCTGGTAGAATTCAGATTGTAGGCAATCGTATTAGAAACGGCCTCCAAGACGAACAGCCAACCCTACCGAGCACCCCACATGCATTTTCTTACTCAAGGAACATGTCTCCTAAAAAACTTCGAGAGAAAAAAATCTCATGAGTTTTCTGAAGGGAAGGGGTCATGTCAAGTAGTATGTGCCCAGTATGCAACTGACTGTATGATTAGGGCTTTCATAGTTAATAATGGGCTGAAGCATGATGGCGAGGGGTTGGATCAGAAGAGATGGAGAAAACAGACATCAGCAAAATAGGCAACTTACATAAGATTCCATAAGAGCAGTCAGGTCTGAACGAATCTTCCTTGCTAGCCAGATAGAATGGCTACAGAGGTCCCGGCGGTGAGGGGTCAGCGGTGAATGCTCTGCAAAAGCCATCCCCTAACTCAACTGTCCCAAGAAGTAAGTGAGCGGAGTTTGTTTCTGTCTACACTGGTCCTAGTAAGCAATGTGACTCTCAGAATAAATCCTCGGGGAATTCTCTACTAATGGAATAGTGTACCCCACCCCCACCCCCTGCCTGACTCAGAGGTTGCAGCAAATTCCTGGCTGTGGATTTCTGTGCCCATGGAATCAAAGGCCCCTTTTACTCGGTTTTTTTCCCCTGCAGCATCTGCCTCCATCTCTCTTCTCCACCGAGTGCCTAGCCCTAATGTACTTCTTGTTTTTGTCATTGTTTTTCTTCTGCACTTAGCAACAAAGTCACTATCACACTAATCCTCATGACACCCCTGCCTAATGCAATGTACTTTACATACGCATACAATCCTTTTATTATTGCCCTCCTCTGTGCTCCCCGTGTCCTTTTCTTTTTTTTTGGCCTGGCAAATTTTTCAATATTACATTTCTATTATTGATATACCTGCCATTTATTAAGCACCTAACCTGAACCAGACACTGCTCAAGGCTTTAAAGCCTTTATTTGATCTTCAGAAAAATAGTGAGGTATTATTTCTCACGTCTTACATAAAAAAGAAATTAAAGAATGTGCACAAAACCCAGTAACAAGGCTCAAAATTTAATTCTACAGCTGTTTCTCCCACTGACTTCCCAATTTTATTGTCTGAATCACATTTTATTCAAGAAACAAAGTTTATGTGAAAAACCTCCTTTAAAAAAGTTTCTTTTTACTCCATCCTTTTGCTATGTATTTAGTTTAATTTACATTTCATTAAAAATTAGCTAAGGAAGCCTCTCTAATCTCAATCATGATGCCTTCCTTGTAGCTAGAGAATGTGGAGGGTATTGTTTAGGCCTTTCTTTTCCAAAGGACAGGGAACACCCAACCCTGACTTGATAACATTTCTAAGGCAGTCTTACTCAAGTGTCAATATGCTCTTCAACAAAATGGGAGAATGAGTTGGGCTTTGAAATGAGGGCAGAAGAGTTTAAAACCACTTGGAGAGTTGCTACTCTAGTATATTTTCCCTTATTCCATAGGTTAAAGGATGGTGCTAACTGGGAAAGAGTTGCAAGTTTCAACTTCAAATGAATCAATTAGCTTCATTATTTCATATCAGACATTGCCTCTAAATTGAAATACATGCCTTCTCAGGGGCAAATTTCCGCAGGTAAATAATGAAGGAGGAATGTAAGGGAGAAAGAAATGAGGCCTGGGTGGATGTCACGGTAGGCTTGTTAAGAAGGTAGAAGGATTTTTTTTTTTTTTTAAATTAGTACTTTGCCAACTGATCACAGGATCATACGGCATCTCAGCATTGGAAGTCAAGGACCATACAGTCAAAAGTTATTAACTACCTGATTCTGAACAAGAACAAACAACAGTATCTGCCACATAAAACCTGCGCTGAGGGCACTTGGTTTTCTTATTTAGCAGCAGCATCAATCATTTAACCTCAGGACAACCATAACTCAGTACAACCAAGGAAGACCAGTTGCTTCCATGAAGACAACTTTTATTTTTCTTCTTTACATATTTATTTTGGGTATGTCTTACCTAGATTAAGAGAAAACAAGAATTTGAAAAGCAGAGTATCCCTTTTATTATAATTTCTTTTTACATAACTTTTTCAACCTAGATTCAGGTAACTACCTGTCTCTCCCATCAGAGGAGAAGGGTCCTGCACATTACGATAGGCAAAAGGCTTTTAGGAAATAAAATATTTTAAATTGATCCATTACAATTTTTAAATTTTTTTGAATACATTGGAAAGTGGGAAAAGGACAGGAGAGAAAAATGGTATTTCAAACAACCAGACTGTAATAACTCAGGTTTAATACATTCTTTATATTTTTTTCTCCAAATAGGTACAAAGGAGGTTCAAGTGCTCTATGTGGATGCTTTCCCATACCTTAATATATATATATTTTTTACTCCCAGTAATCTTGGCCAGTGTTTATCTAAATCCTCTGAAGCATATTACGTCTCAATTATGTAAAATAACCCTGGTCAATCAAACAAGGAGGAAGCACAGAAATAATGCTTGTTATTTCTACCTTTTCAGAATCTAGACTTGCCAATTCAAGATGGAGAACATGTAGTAGGAAAAAGTGGTAACAGAATTTTATTAAGAGTAGGAAATGCAGAGTTTTAAGATTAAAAGAGCTCCTTGGAAGGACAATGAAGTAAACAGCACGAGGCGCAGGAAGGAAAAAGGGAAGAAGGCCTAGAATAAGTCAGTTTACTTACACCAGCTCTTCATAACGCTAGCATCCCTTTCTCAAAAGGAAAAACAAAAAAGTTCATAGAAAATATTTAAAATTTATCACAAACTGCAATAATTTATTAGAGCAAAATTGTAGGCAAAAGGTAGCTATGAAGAGGACAAAGTGAGGGAGAAATAACAAAATTTTAATTATTAGAACCAACTAGTTGTCTTTGGCAGGGAAAGGAGTGTGAAATAGGGAAGAACATATTTCCCTCGATCTCATAGTATTTTATGCAGTTTGCCTTTGAGTACATGGCTAAAATATCTGATAACTTCCAAAACTGTAATTTATGGACACAAAGAAAAAGTAAGCGTGACAAAGACAGAAGTAAGTTTCGGGAACAGATGCTATAGCTAGTGCAACAGCACAAAAGGGACCGACATGGGGCGGGAGACCAACTTTGTTGTAGACCCGTCCAATCAGTCATAGAATATTTTCAAATCTAATCAACATACCAAAGTCAACTCCAAATCCTTACTGTGGGCAGGAAAGCATATTCTACATCCCTTCTATCTTTATTCCATTTTCTACCCCCACACTGGAGGGATGGCAAATCTGCAACACTCTGAAAAGAAACAATAGGACATTTGACACTGTTCACTGTGGGTGTTGCACTCCCTACTCCTGGCATCCCAACCACTGACACTAGTGGGTGTAAAGTAAGCCTCTTTCACAGATGACATTTTGTTACCCCTCTTCTCCGGGGAAAAAAATCAGAGAAAATTAACACGCTTTGTAGTTTTAGTGTTTGTGAAAAACAAGCTGTTCCTTATTTTGTTCTCAGCAGAACATCCTTCTTTCCAACAGCCATCGTACATTTCTAACAATGCATAGGGCAAGCCACAAATTCCAGCTTCTGAGGTACACAGGGCAGGAACTCCCTAAAAATGAGCCAAAATAGGCTTTTCATCTTCTGGGAGTTATGAACTTATACCAGTCTCTTTTATGGACAGTAATAAGCAATCCAACCCATGAATATCCCTATCTCAAGGGAAGTGGTAATAAAATCCCAAGATTTCAGGGGGAAGACAAAGCTATTATTATATTATTAATTTTGTCTATTGAATATTGAAGGCTTTCCTCTTCCCAGGTGTTACTGAAAGGGAAACATGACAGAGCAGTTTTCTTTTAATTAAAACTGTACAACTCCTAGACTATTCCTTCACTAATGGCAGTGTCCTTCACTAATCGGGAGCTGGAATGAACCAATGATAAGCAAAGCAAAGCAAAAACAAAAATAAAGCAAGGGGCCAGAGTTGGGCCAAAAGGGAGGTGTATGTAAAGAAATGATGGGAACAAAATAAAAATTTAAAAAAAAATTTGCAAGAGAAAATCTTTTATCTGTAATTCAGACCCTGAACCACCTTCTTCATCCCCTCAAAATTCCTAAATTTCAATGCTTTAAAAATTCACAGAGCACTAATTACACCATAAATCTAACATTCTTCCCTAAAAAGCCTTCCAAAAAAGCACTAAGCTACTGTAGTGATTTTATTAGTGCTGAGGACCAGCTTAAAGGCCACTGGAGAGCTATGATTTTAGAGGCTGGCTGTGCTTCTTCAACCCTATATCTATCTTACCTTCAAAAGTACCTCTTACGGAAAAGGACCCCACGTCAGAATAATCTAATCTCTCCCAGCCCCACAAAATATAGCAACAAAGACAAAAAATCAGACTTTCCGTTAATAAATAAGGAATCTCAGGTTCCACAACACAAAAACACACATGTTCAAAGTGCAAATTTCTGCCATTAGACTGGGACTTTTTTGTCTTACTGATACACAGCCCTCCCTGTCCTATGGTCAGAGACCATGTAGAGGGCAGTCCCCTCCCTGCTGGGAGCCTGCTTCCAAACAAGTGAGCACCACTGAGAACCATATGGAGGTGTTGGGAGGAGGACTGAGGTGCTGGGGTCAAAGTGGTCCCCATGTATCCTTCCTTTCAAAAACCCAGTGAGGAACAGAGGAAAAGGGGGTCAGAGATGTGTGCTGTTTTAACAGCTCACCCTGCTAAGGGGCTCTAAAGTGCCAAGTCAAGCTGCCAGCCTCCAGAGATTAGAATTAGATGATACTTTGAGGATAAGTGTGCTGCAGTGGGTAGAAGCCAGACCATAGGGCAGCAGTAAAGGAGAAGGGATTTATAGGACAGTATATACTACTCAGTTAAAAGCTGATCCAAAGCATATAAGAATTATAGGTTGGAAAAGGGGATCTGCTAATGAGCACGAAGTCTGCCTGGCTGGAACTGAGCATGAGGATCACCCTCACTTTAAGAGCTTATTTTTTTGTCTACTTTTCTGATAAAGGCAACATCAATTTTATAAAGGGGTCAGGAGAGGGAGAAGGGAAGGAGGGTGTGGGTGTGTCTGTAGGTGTTTGTGTATGTGTGTGTGTGTGTGCTGTGATCCACATTGGAAAGAGCAGGCCCTTCAGTTATTTCACTAGATCTTAAATGCTTTAAATTTTTTTTGTCCTTTTTATCTTTTAAGTACAAAGTCTGAGCTGTCCCAGTGCCTAAAGTCTTCCCTTCTACTAAGGTCCGGTAGAGTCTGAATCTTCAATCAGAACCTCTGTGGTAGCACCGAGTATATCTGAGTTCATGACCAGCCCTTCAGTGCCCCCACTGCTGCTGCTTCCCACAAAGATCTTCCCATCAGCCATCAGGCTCACCCGTTCTGTCCCACTACAGTATGACTTTGACATCCCTTCAGCCTCTAGCAGGAGGCACTCTCCAGAGGTGGAGTTTCCCAAAGGCTCAGGAAGAAGAGGAAGACCCTGACCATCTGCAGGTTGTGTCAGGGACTCTGGGTTAGTGCCCAGGATATCTGTGCTGGTGATGAGGGCGCCTGCGTTGGCAGCCAGAGCTTCAGCAATCAGCACCTCAGGGTGACTTTTTGCTTTGTGTGCCACTACGCTGTCCTTCTTTTCAAATTTTTTGCCACAGATATTGCAAGAGAACTGGTAGAAGGAGTCTGCATCATGCTTCTTCATGTGCCAATTAAGGGATGCTTTTTGCCGACAAGTGAATCCACAGATCTCGCATCTAAGGAGAGTAGAAGAGGAAATGGCTGATCAGACAGAGAAAGAGTTCTTATTCAGAGTCAGGGTGAGAACTTAAGAGGTCACAAACACAGACAATTGTCAGTAGTGTATACTCGTGAAAGACTACGAAAAGTTACCAAATGAACACTAATTTCATTTTTTTTCCTGTTTGTTTAGAAGACAGAAGAAACAAGAAAAAGTTCACTAAGTAGTTCCCCTAAACAATACCCACCCTAATTTGGTAAAAGTAAAGAATAGTGGCAGCTGAGATTTTTGTAAAGGGGGTAACCCTCATGAGGGATAGGTGCACTTCTCACCCAGATGTTTACCAATAACTAAATACTCACTGTAACGGCTTCTCGCCTGTATGAATCATCCGGTGCACTGCCAGATTGTGAGAACTCTTGAAGGCGCGAGCACAGTATTCACAAATATAATCCCTTTGATCTAAGAAGAAAAATAATATGGTTGGTGTTCCACTCAGAATCCCTCTAAGTATTTTTCCTCTTACTTCACTATAAACAGATAATTAGGTAGGTCGATTCTGAGTAAAAGCAATACTATTTTCAATGTATAAACACTGGATAAACAAATAATCAAGAATATACAGGACTTTTTTCTTTTTTTGCTACAAATATTCAGTAGCATAAAGATCTATTTTTTAAAAAACTAGATGGAAATATACAAGAACTAAAATCCTAATCTTAATTTTATCAGTAATCCAGATTTTGGATAAATTGCTTAGCAAGCAAAACTACATTTTCCATGGATTTAATTTTTAAAAAACGTGACCCAAGATAAACAATTTACACCTCTCTCAAAACATTCAAGTTGCTGCTATCAAATACACAGCACAGTACCTGTAATTTATCTTGCTCTCCTACCCTGCATCTTCTGCACCATTCAACTACCTCCCCTCTTTTATTTCACAAGCCCCCAAATTTCACAGGATTTTTGAAGAATTTGGTAACATAATGTGGAATCTATGCGGCAAAAGAGCAATGTACTTAATTATTTCTTCATCACTTCATTCACAAGAGTGGACAAAGACATGCTTAATATCATTTGTTGAATGAATGAAAACTACCCTTTCTATGCCTCTCACTTAAAATTATTACAAACACAGTGAAAGTTGAAAGGCAAATAAATTAATTCCATACCTAAACCCAGACAGTTTTAAAGCTAAGTATGGGAGAACAGCCAAGTTTCTCTCAGGCTTAAATGTACTTAGAACTATCACCTGGGCATCCTGTTAAACGCAGATGCTGATTTGGCAGGTCTGAAGCAGTGCATGAGATTCTGTATCTCTAACAAGAGCTCAAGGGATGCCACCAATACTTACCAGTATACAATGAATAGTAATATAAAAAATGAGTATACAATGAGTAGTGATATAAAAAAAACACACACTTCGAACTCAGAGACAACTCTTAGTATCTCCCAGGTCTCGACTTGTCCAGCTCCACTGTAGTATGACAAACAAGAGTGGGGTATCCATTTGTTTAAATAAATTATATTTTCAAAGGGAGCCTGTATATACTAATTTGGAAAAGGAAAACTACACTGACGTCATAAAATTGCATTAACCAAATATAAATATTTGGAATATATTCAATTTCTAAAACAGTTCGCCACAGCAGGCTTGTAATATTTAGCTTAGAAAGTCTAAACTGGTTATCAGAAAGTAGTTTTCTATGGGACAAGACAGTCTCACAGGAGAAAAGTGGAGAAATGGCAGCACCTAGCAAGAAGTGGAGTGCAGATAGCATTCTCCTGAAGAAATACAGTACAATGCAAAGACTGCAGACTTTAGAATGATTGAGACCTAAATTCAAATCCTGATGTTTCTTGAAAATCTATCATTATGGCAGGCCCTGTGTAATAACACATTATATATTATTTCATCTTTATAATATTGGTGGCATTAATATTCTTATTTTACAGATGAGGAAAGTGAGAAGAGAAAAAGTTAAGAAAGTTGCCTAAGTTGCACATATGGTAAATGATGCAAAGGGTACACGTATCAGTATGACCCTGGGCAGGAGATGTGGCATTTCTGCCACTGGAATTCCTAGTCTTAGGACTACAGCTATTGAGAAGGTAGCACAAAACAATCAAGTGTCTGGGACATACTAGACTGGCTCTAATATCCAGCCCAAATTGTTCCTATTAGCCACACTGCCCTGAAATTGTCAATGGCTAAAAATGAGCAGAATTTGAATTCATTCTGTAATCTGAATTACTAAAACGTTCAGTTTCTCTTTTTGAGTCAATTTCTCCTGCGGGAGCTTACACGTAAATTCAATAGCTAGCTTTTATGACTTCAACAGCAGCAGAAGTCCCAGGAGCCATTTAGTAGTTACCATAAACTATAAGCTAACCTTCTTTACCATTTAGGCTTCTTCTTGTAATTCCTCACTCCTAATCTGTAACAATACCTAAAACAGAATTAGAAAATCTTGGTTTTGCCAAAAATTAGCTGTGTGAACATAAGTAAGTTACTTAATGTTGCTAAGCCTCTGGTTTCTTGGCTGCAAAATAAAACCAACGCAGCAAACTTAGTTATGCTGAATGGATGGATATGCAACAATATACAAAATGTCTGTTGGAAGGAAGTCCAGCCATTGTTAATATAATGAGAACAGTTTGCTTGACACAGGTGTAACCTGGCATTTAAGGAGAGTGGACTGGAATGTACATGGGTGAACAATGACTTCATTGTACTAGTCAGTGGGGACAGTAGATGCCACTGAGTGAGCCTGTGTAGTGTGTGGCCATTGCATTCAAAATGACTGACCAAGTAGAGCAAAAAATCTATATCATATTTTGCATGAAGCTTGAATATTCCTCCATGAAAACTATGCCGACACAGAAGGCCACAGCTATGGGCAACTGGTGACTGGCAGCTTTATCATGATAATGTGCCCACTCATGTATCATGTCTTGTGCAGGGTTTTTGTGAAACATCAAATCACCCAGGTGACTCGGCCCCTGTACAGCCCTGATTTGGTGCCCTGTAACTTCTGGCTTTTCCCAAACTAAAATCACCTTTCAAAGGGAAGAAGAGATTTCGGACTGCTGATGAGATTCAGGAAAATACAATGAGGCAGCTGCTGGCAATGGGGGAAACTGTGTGAGGTCCCATGGTGCCTACATTGAAGGGGACTGAGGTGTCACTACCTTACATACAGTGTTTCTTGTGTCATGTATCTTCTTCAATAAATGCCTGTATTTTTCATATTATATGGCTAGATACTTTCTGGAACAAATCTCATATGTAAAGTGTTTGGTCCACAACTGACACAATATTTGCTCCACGAAAGATAATCATCCAGATCATAAAAGTTCTTCTCACAGAAATCAAGGAAAAAGAATCAAAAGCCCTGGTTTGTTCATCCCTTGTAAAATTTATGTCATTACAGTTTACTTCTCTATGTTTCTCTCACACTTGACTGTAGACTCTGAAGATTTATGTTAGAAAAAAATGTCATTATCAAGCTACACTTAAAAGTATAATATTTATCTATTTGACAAAATATTTTATTTTGAAAGTACCGGTATGATGTTTGGCATGTCGCAGAAGTTGCTTTTGGAGCCTGAAGAGTCGCCCGCAAGAGGGATGAGGACATACGTATTTCTTCTTCAGCAAATGCTGATATTTAATGTGGTGCTAAAACAAGTTGAAGAAAGTGAAGAGGGTTAAAATTTAAGGCCTCCTAAATATCTGTTCCTCTGCTAAGTCAAAAGCACTGAAGGAAAATCAAATACTTTGTACATGGGTAGAGAGGCAATATAATCCAACAGTAAAGTAAGAACACAGGCTGTGGAAATAACCTTGGATTCCAATCTGGGCCTGTCATTTACAAGCAGTGTGATCTCAGGAAATATAAATTGAAATACTTTAAGCTCCAGTTCTCATTTGTAAACTGGAGATCACCTGTCTCTTAAATCTAGAGATTCTATTGTATGGTGCTTAGTGCAGCAAACTGCGCATAGCACAGGAATACTGGCTATTAGTATTATAACACAGCCAGAATCAGAAAGTAAGGCCTGAATCTCATGTTGCACTTGCTGCTAAACTAAGTATCAGTCATTTCTTAAGCTTTAGTTATTAGTATTTCACTTTCGCGTTTTCTGTGAGACCTAAACATAAGCTGTATCTTTACTCACATTAAAAATCTACTCATTTTAAACTTTTAAAATTGATTTTAAACAATATTCAAGAAATCCCTGGTTTGAGTTACTAATTTTTAAAAAAATATACACTCTAAAAACCTGTTCATCTGTGTCTTTGTGTGTTGTTATAATCATCTCAGAAGTATTATTACACCACAACAGAAAACACTGGAATTTTCCAATATTCCAAGGAAATCCTGTTTAGGCTTAGGTTCTTAGATACTTTTCTTTCTTTCTTTTTTTAAACACAATGACTGAAGTAATTTTATGTTTAAAGAATTTTCTTGACACTGCACGTCAATGATAAAACCTGCACAAATTCACATATTATAAAGTCTCATGAAGCTTGAGAACTAGTAATGGTATATAACCTGAAAAGCTGCCTTCCGTAACAATTTTACTGACCTGCAAATAGCGAGGGTGAGCAAGAACGGTCCCACATCCTTCCATCTCACAACGCACATACTGGATTGGAGGCTTTTTCCTATTATCAGCATGTAGGAAAAAAGTCAGCAACAGAAAAAGAAGCAGTCTGTCCAGTGACCTTTAACTCAAACTGCACTATTAGGGAATAGGAACTTTCCACTATTATACAGTTTGCACATAAGTTGTTAGAAGTTACTGGAACTTGCAAAATGTTTAATAAGGTTTGTAAAAAATAATGCAAAATAAAGTAGTGACCCTCAAAAGGTAAAGTAGTATTAAGATTCTTCGAAACATTTAGATCCTGCTGCAAAAATAAACACACAGTAACTTTGTCAAGGACATTAACAAAGTTGCTTTTGTCTCTTCCTGTAGGATTATTATTACTACATATTTGAGTAAAGTGCCTACCACCTGAAACAACATAGGAGTATAAATTCTTACCTCCTTTTGGGTAATCGTGGACTTTTGTCATCTTTTCGTCTTCTTCCTCTCCTATAATTAAAAAAGGGTAAATTTTCCAAATATTCTGGGTTGAAGCTTATTGCGTAAAGGATGGCCGAAGATTTACAAGGCCTATCTGGAAAACGTCCAGCCAGTTAATATAATGCAAACAGTTTGCTGGACATGGATGTAACCTGGCAGCCAAGGAAGTGGACTGGAATGCGCATGTGTACTGTGTGGCCGTCACATTCAAAATGACTGAATGAGTAGAGTACCGAATCCATATCACATTTTGTGTTAAGCTTGAATATTCCCGAAGGCCAGCTATGGGCAACTGGTGATTGGCACTGGCAGCTTTATCACAACAACGTGCTCACTCATGCATCACTTTTTGTGCAGGGTTTTTGGGGAAATATCAAACCACCCAGGTGACAGCCTCCCTAAAGCCCAGATTTGGTGCCCCATGACTTCTGGCTTTTCCCAAAACTAAAATCACCTTTGAAAAGGAAGAGATTTCAGACTGTCAGTGAGATTCAGGAAAATACGACAGGGTAGCTGCTGGAGACTAGGAGAACTGTGTGAGGTGCCAAGGTGCCTACTTTGAAGGGGACTGAGGCATCACTGTCCTATGTACAGTGTTTCATGTGTCTTGTATCTTCTTTACTAAATGTCTCCATTTTTCATATTATATGGATGCATACCTCTAGGCAGACCTCGTGTATACTCAAGACCAAAGAGCAGGTGACAGAAACAAAGGATAACCCAGAATACATAAAGTCACATACATAAATGGCAAACCAAAGATTTCACTCTGAAGTAATTTTACTTTCAAGGCTCTATCACAAGTCAAATATATACCATTTATAAACTATACGGTACTATGGAAGATTTGGATAAACCTCAGTTACTACATGAAGAGTTGTTTCAGTGAAAAGTCTACTGTTTAAATCTCATCAATTTAAAGAGAATGAAAGAGGCTATTATCTAAAAACCCTAAAATATAAATTATAATCTCCTTGTAACAGAACCAAAAAACCTTAACCTTAAAAAAAAATCTTATTATGAGAGATGCCAGACAAAGTTTTTTCACCCGGTCAAGGTTATTACCGTATTTTGCCATGTATAATGTGCAATTTTTTGCCCAAATTTTTGAAGGAAACATAGGGATACACATTATACATGGGTAGTACTAATTCCATAGCTATATAAATGTTTTTAACTCTTTTACTTATGCATTAAAAGTATAACTCTATAAAGCTGTAATGATATCTGTATGTTTGGAAATAAATGCTAAAACTTCTTTATAATACAAAAAAAACAAGTATCTAATATAAATTTTAAAAAATGCTTCAAAAATTAAAATGAAAGACTTTTTCCTTTAAGTTTGAGCAAAAAATATGGGTGTGCATTATACACGGCCAAATATAGTACATTTGCCTTATCTGCCCTTTTCTGAAGATCCACACTTGCCATACTTTTTGCTTGCTGTTCTATCCCTTCCTCATCCCTATACCTACTGTCTTACCCATTCATTTATATGTCTCTGATACTGCCTTGAATTAAACTTTTCAAGCGTTTGGGAAGAGTGCCCGCAATACAATGTCAGCTACTTGAGGCAGCAAGACAGGGAGGGGAAAAAATAGATTAACGGCTATATGTGAAAGTTTATTCTTGTATTATTAATTATTAATTATTGTAGTATTTTCCAAGCAAATGTAAACCTACTTTGCCTCACTGTGTATGTATACATCAAATCCCACCTCATACTCCCACATCTTTTTCCACTAGTGGCTTCAAAATGTTACCTTTCCATTTAGTAATAATTGCCCACTTACTTCCTGGGAGGTTCTTCATCTTCCCTAATTTCATTTTCTTCTTCTTTCACCTCTACCTCTACTTCCACTTTAATCTCTTTCTTCTCTTTCTCTTCTTTCACCTTCCCGGATTTTCTCCGTGGCTTTGGGGTTTCCCTGAAAACACAAATACATTTCAACACTGGTATCTAGCAAAGTATCCTTTTCAAGGAAAACTGACAACAAGGTAAAGCTGGGGGTTAACATCAATTTATTGATATTTCAAGCCTATGGGATGACCCTTGAGGCTAAAGATGCCCTAAAATGAACTCTCATTACAGCTGTAAAGAGAAACCAGATAAAAGTAGAAAATTCCAAGTATTCAGGCAATTCCTATCTTATTATAATAAAACATGCAGATATAATGATAACGTGAATATAATCAAAATAAAGTTCATAATGGAAGAGAGGGCTGTAATGAGGGATAATAAGATCATGCCAAATTTGCAAAATAAGCCTGTAAGTAATTATCCACTTAAAATGAAGTCTATACCCACTAGTAGTTTGGCAACAAGAGGCAATAAAAACATGCAACAGTGCTTTCCGAACTTATTTTCATTGACATGTCTAGAGTAAAATGAGACATACCTTTCTAAGTGGGGTTTGTAGGTCTCATCTCTTGGGTCATCTTTAAATGGTATTTCCTCTTCACTGATTAACATCTCTTCCTCCTCCTCCTCATCACTACTAAAAAGAAGCAAATAAAGATCAGAAATTCTAGTTGTAAAGATTATATCTGAGGGAATTTTCTAATCTTAGTATATGTGCTGCCAAAACAGGTATTGTATATTATTAGGTAATTTTCTGGGGGGTAGACAAAGATTCACAGTAAGTCATCTAGAATTTTTATATTTGTAATCCAGTTGAACTGCAATTAGCTCCTTTTCCCAAAGAATAACTGGAGCTCAAAATCCTCACTATGTCATCACTTTGTTAAATAAAGGCAAGGTGTCACAGCTCCATGGTGTGAAGAATTAAAAATCATTTCACTTTATAATATAGTATTTAATACCTGATATATCAAAAAAGACCTATCAACAGATCAAAAATAATCATGTGACTTATCATAAGAGATACTGATAGAATTTTAAAAACCTGGTCTAAATACCTATATTTCATATTTATTGCCCAGCATGAAATTGACCAAAACACAGAAAGAAGATGCTCAAGACAGGGCTAAAGATTACATAGTTAATGCTCTAATGAAGAACAATTTGGAATATAAACTAAATACCAAACTGAAGTTAATTTCTCTGTTATAGCTCAAAATTCTTTAAAGTAGAAAACAATTTTGAGTAATTTAATGTGATTGTGCTTTATGTCCCTAAGAGTTTAAATATGAAATGTTCCTTACCTAATGCCACCGGCAGATTGATGCTCTTCTACAACTTCTGGAAAAAATAAAGACAAAACAAAACATTATCTATGTAGATACATATGTAAATATATTTCCTCCCTGAAGCTAAGAGACCAAATTATTGCTCGAGGTAATCACACAAAAGATTATCTCCAAACTGTCAAAAAAGAACCCTTCCTATTTATTTCAGCACACCTACCCCGCAAAGTTAAGCTGTTTTGGTCAACGTTCAACATTACATTTAAAAGCAACAGGCAACTGGTTCTTAACCTTTCTCTATTTTCGCCATACCATAATCAAGCTGATCTGTATTTGGTTCTGACTTGCAGATGAGCTGCAACGAACCAGTCTTGGACCGAGAGCTCCGGGTGTTCTCTGTGTCTCGATGCCGTGAGACAGACGTCCTGCTGCTACTGCGCCAGCCCCGGCTAGGCCTAGTTGTAGTGACGGAAACTTCCTGAGGGAGGACAGAATCGTCTTCTTCCTCTTTCTCTTCCTTGGGATCTAGATGAAAACATATGCCATTCTTTTTAAGTTTACAGTATATCTAAAACCATCTTTGTATATCTACTATTGTAAATTCAGTCAAGGAGAGAGAAACTTTTTTTTCATGGGAAAAAACCCTCAGCTTTTAAAACAAAGTAATAGAAACAAAATTAGAGAAAAATCAGGGAAAACTTATTGCCATTTCTAAAGAAACACCTTCATTTTGCAAAATAATAATTTTATATTGCTTATCTACTAAAATGTGAAATGCTAAAAAGCACGTAAAATATAACTAAGTAATGCAATTCATAAAATTCTAATCTTTAGATCTAAGACAAAAGGACCTAAATTAAAAGAGTGGTCCCAGAAAAATGACTACAAGTACAGAGGAATGAGAAAGTCATAGATCTAAATGTATTAAATAACCAAGAAAGTCCATAATGGAAATGCTTTCTCTTGACTCTTGTTACCTATTTTCCCCTATACTTTAAAGGGAGAATGAGGTAGGGGTCACCCCTATCTGCAAAAGAGAGAATAAAACTTAAAATCAGAAATTTGCTTTCAAACCTAGAGGTGCTTATTAATTGTATCTATGTAAGTCAATGTTTTAAAAGTGAGCCTATTTTACTATACAAGATTCCTTTCATAATCTCAGAACAGAAAAGGCCTAAGAATAGCACAAACTTTCACATGTTAAGACTTATACATCTGACTACATAAACGTAAAGTAATTTTCTACATGGCAAGTTGCATTATAATCAAAGTCTAACAACCCGATAGAAAAACGAAGTTCAGTAAAACATACGGCTTTCAAAAACACAGACAACACCAAAGCTCAATCTACTCTTAACAAGAGAAACTCAAATGAAAAAGATAGTGTGATACTACTTTTACCCTATCATTTTGGCAACAATCCACATGCTTGAAAACACACCTTGTATTAGCGAGGCTGCAGAAAAACAGGCACGCTAATACACATGGCCACATGTGCAATGGGAAAACCTCTAACAAGGACAATTTGGTAATACCCAAAATTTAAATGTACACACCTTTTCACATTTATTTCAACTACTAGGAATATATCCTATAAAACTACAATCACACTTATGCAAAAAACCATACCCATTTAATACCCAATTATCTCATGTGTAGCTTTATCCTAAAGACTATCTAGTTCTAAGTACAATCCAATGAGCTTTACCCATAAAACAACTTAAAGGCAAAGAAGATGACTTGCTCAAGATCACAAAGCTAGCTAAGCAGACCTAGATCTAAAACCCATGTCTTTAGACTAGTAATCAAGGGCTTTTAAATATAAATCATGGCTAAATTACAGAATTTTTTCAAAGGGAGACATTCAACACAGCAAGTATTACAACATTAAATTGGGGGGGGGGGGATTCTTTTACTCAACCCAACTAATTGGGACTTTTAAATCCACTCCATAACCTTCCTGTACGCAATATAGCTCTCTTCTTCTTCATGACGAAAGAACTGTATGCTCATCCTTCTTATACTGTGGATCTTATCCACTGGACAAATGATAGCACTCTGATGAGAATTGCTTATCCTCATAAATAAAGCATAATAGCCCATCTTATTAAATACCATTTAATACCCGTGGCCCAAAACTGGAGTCTTAATAAAAAATAAAAAAAAAAAGCATGGTCAGGGAGTGACATCAGCAAAAATATTCTTGAATAAAAACACACACACACAGGGGACTTCCGTCAAGATGGAGGCGTAGGTGGAAGCACTGCACCTTCTCACACAACCAAGTTTAAAAACAAAAGTTTTAGCAACAAAAACGCAGCCAAACCACAGAAAATTGAACTATACGGAAGTCTGACAACAAATCCTTCAGCCAAACTGGTAAGAGGGGCAGAGCCAGCAGCAGAGTGGGGTCAAGCAGGAAAGATCCACCCGACTGACCAGGGTATGCAACCCAGGCACACTGGCAGCTATAGGCAGATCCCAGGTGTGGAGTAGTGGGCGGACCCACTGAGGGTGGACCACGGTCACACATTTGCGTGCAGATAAACCGGTGAAGGAGCGAGCGGTGACACAGACCGTGCAGGCCCCAGTGGTGGAAAGTGGCAGAGGGGACCGCCATTGTCCCTCTCTGACCCCGCCCCCACATACAGTGTCACAAACCAGTGACCTGGGTGGCCCCGCCCTGGTGAACACCCCCTTGTACGTAACAGGCACGAACGGATCACAAAACATGACTCAAGAACAACTCAGAGCCCCAGAGCCCATAAATCTAAGAGATGAAAAAATAGCCAAACTTTCAGATGCACAGTTCAAAACACTGCTGATCAGGATGCTCACAGAACTGGTTGATTTTAGTCATAAATTAAAGGAACATATGAAGGCTAAACTAATTGAAATGAATGGAAATACACAGGAAACCAATAGTAGTGGAAAGGAAACTGGGACTCAAATCAAGGGAGTGGACCAGAAGGAGGAAAAAATGACCAAACAGAAAAGGATGAAGAAACAAGAATTCAAAAAGATGAGGAGAGGCTTAGGAACCTCCAGGACATCTTTAAACGTTCAAACATCTGAATTATAGGGGTACCAGAAGGGGGAAAGGAACAGCTACCAGTGAAACACTTATTTGAACAATGAATAAAGGAGAATTTCCCCAATCTGGCAAAGGAAATAGACTTCCAGGGAAGTCCAGGAAACTCAGAGAGTCCCAAAGAAGTTGGACCCAAGAAGGAACACACCAAGGCACATCATAATTACATTAGCCAAGATTAAAATGAAGAAGAGAATTCTAGAAGCAGCAAGAGATAAGGGGACAGTCACCTACAAAGGAGTTCCCATCAGACTATCAGCAGATTTCTCAAAAGAGACCTTACAGGCAAGAAGGGGCTGGAAAGACGTATTCCAAATCATGAAATCCAAAGACCTACATCCAAGATTGATCTATCCAGCAAAGCTTTCATTTAGAATGGAAGGGCAGATAAAGTGCTTCTCAGATAAGGTCAAGTTAAAGGAGTTCATCATCACCAGCCCTTATTATATGAAATGTTAAAGGGACTTATCTAAGAAAAAGAAGATAAAAAACATGCACAGTAAAATGACAGCAAACTCAGTTATTAACAACTGAACCTAAAACAAAAACAAAAACAAAAACTCAGCAAACAACTAGAACAGGAATAGAACCACAGAAATGGAGATCACATGGAGGGTTAGCAACAAGGGAGTGGGAAGAGGAGAGAGGAGGAAAAGGTACAGAGAATAAGCAGCACAGAAGGTAGGTAGAAAGCAGGGGGAGGGCAAGAATAGTATGGGCAATGTAGAAGCTAAGAACTTAGCTTCTATATTGTAAAGAACTTACAAGTATGACACATGGACATGAACTAAAGGGGGGGAATGTGGGTGGGAAGAAGGGAGGGAGGGTGCAGGGGAGTGAGGGGGAAAATGGGACAATTGTAATAGCATAATCAATGAAATATATTTAAAAAACATTAAAAACACTTTTACTGATTTGAGAGAAAGAGAGGGACACTGATTTCCTCTTCCGCTTATTTATACATTTATTAGTTGTTTTTGTTTTATGTGCCCTGCCCAAGGATGGAACCCGTAATTCTTGGTATATTAGCACAATGCTCTAACCAACAACTGAGCTGTTGGGTTAGCCAAAAAAGTCCATTTAGCCCATAAAACTAAAAACACATTTTTCATTTTCACCAGTAACTTATACGGATATTTTGAGTTGTGTTGGCTATCTCCTACTATTGGCTTCTACTGGGTAGAGGCCAGGGGTGCTGCTAAACCTCTTCTAGTGCATAAGACAGCCCCACAGCAAAAAATTATTTGGTCAAAATGTCAATAGTACCAAGAAACTTCACAAGCCACTTTTGACATGTCAATAGTACCAAGAAACTTCACAAACCACTTTTGACATGTTTGATCAGTCACAACAGCTTCTCCATGTACTGCACAAATCTCCTGTTGCATTTCTGTTGTGTTTTTACCTTTCTTGAAATAATACAGCACAATATGCCAATAATATCCAATGCCAATAATATCCATCTTCAATATTAAAAATGGCCACCCCAAAATCCATTAATTTTGATAAGTTTCCCAAGTTGAAAAGTAGGTGGAAGCTACACTTACCTCCTCACAGGTCCACATCAAAATTACAAGTAAATTATGAACAGTCAACCTGGACAACCATTTGAAGGCTAATCTTTTTAACCAAGGATATAGAGAAGCCACATTGAAACTGGAAGAGTAGAGACACAGAACAGCTGTCCCTGCACCCACATGTGGTTGAGAATACAGTAGCAAGGGGTCTCAATCAGAAGCTGGGCTTTCCAGCCTGAATTACCAGTTCCAGGAAGAGGACCCACATAATATATGGTTGTGAAAATCAGCCCGGATTCCATCAGCCGAGGTGAAGCAGAAGGTTCCTAGAAACCCAGGCATATATTGTTCAAGGGACAGATAACAAACTCTTGCTTGCAGGCATTCACTCTGGGCTCTGGCAGCGGGAGGGCAGCTCAGAGGGTGTCAGAATCATACAGGGAGAGACTGAGTTGTGTAGTTCCAGGGAAAGAGCTGGAAAGATAGCTTCCAATGTCCCTGTGTTGAGTCCCACCAATGCCATCTTTCTTGGGTTGGGCATTACCCCCAAATGGCACTAACCAGGGGAGTTATACTAGCTCCAGCCTGACAACTCCAAGGCCCTGCCTTACCCAATTTGTGCGTGGCTATGGGTGTTACCAGCAGCAATCAGCCTGGGCCTACACTACAGTTTCTCTTAAAAAATTCTCAAGGAATTCTGGGTAAGTTCATGGGGATACCAGAGACACATGGAGAGAGTGAGTTGTGCGGCTTTAGGGTGAGGGCTGTTTCCCCCATGTGCCCGACTAACCACCACCACTGATCCCAGATGGGACCCTACCAGCATATGGTGTTAACCTGAAGAGCTGCACCTGTTCCACCCTGCCCAGCTTATCCACAGCTGTGAGATTTGTCAGTGGCAATGAGCCTAGGGCTGC